CCCCCCGAAACTTCTGCTTCCCGTTAGTAACCGAGATAGTAACTTCAGGCGTGGTAAATAATAACAATATTTAATCGCTCCCTTTGCTACCCCCGGCTCTTTAACCCGTGGTGAAACTTTTGAGAAGCAGCACAGGGAAGTAACTGGGGACGGATCTGGCTGGGAGCGCTGGTCCCCAGCTCCTTTGCCCAGCGCCGCTGCTGTCCGGCTCTCGGCGCTGGCTGGCAGGGCAGAGGCTTTCCAGCGCCGCCGGGGTTTTGAACTCCCCTTGGGGACGGCATCGCTCCCGGCGGCCACCCTCGACTCGCGTGAGCGCTGAGGGATCTGCTCCTGCGGAGCCAGCCCCAGGCCTGGGGCTCAACCTGCAGCCTCTGCTCGGCAGAGGTAATGGTCGCTGACTTCCTGCTCGGCGATCCGAGTGGGATTTCAGTCCGTGCTGCCGTCCTGCGCTCCTTAAATCACAGCTGGTTTGGCCTTGCGCGGTTTGGGGTCTGAAGAAGAAGAGCTGCGCTTGGAGCCTGAGCCGGGGATGGGGGCTCCTGCCTCTCCTCCCGTTCCAAGCCTCGCTAGACAGCTTTATTTCAAGTCACGCCTCAGGTGAAGGCTCAGACGTGGCCGTGGGTAACAGCAGCAACTTGAAGTAGGGGATTTATGTATGTAAAGGAGTGTGGGAACGTTCAGGTGCAAAGTACCTTGTGGATCCCGGGGAGGAGGAAACTTCCCATGGTGGCTGTGCCAGCCCGGCTTGCTGCAGGGTTTGCTGTGCTTGGAAACGGGGAAGGGTTTGTCCTCGCTTGCTCAGGGATCGTAATTAGCGCTCGTCAGGGGCGGAGAGGTGCGATGGAAGAGGACGAAAGGTTGGATGTGTTTGTGAGTAACGTGCCGGATGAGCCGCCGCCGTGGGATGTGTGGAGCCGGTTTGCGAAGGGCTTCCTTGCCGAAGCGACGCCTTTTCCCAAGGGCTGGGCGCTTCTCAGAGGTGAGAGAGATTTTTAGCACTCCCACAATTCATTTATTTATTTTTTTAAAATGGGGAAGTTAATTCATAGGTGAATCTCTGGATTTAACTCCACCCCATGGGGCCGTAGCGTTTGCGGAGGAGGAGGAGGGAACGAGGGAAGCGCTGGCGATGCGGTTCTGGGGCTGGCAGGCTGTGGTGTCCCCTCTGCCCTGCGCCTCGGTCCCCTCTGCAGCCCAGGGGAGGCGGAACGGCTTCCTAGGAACGATGCCCCAAAGACAGGTTAGCAAGAGCTTGCTGTGGCTGAACGCTCGGGGCAGGAGTTAGAGGCGTCTCTCCCTTAGGGAGCCAGGAGGCCGAGGAGCGCTGGGAGCCGTCCTTCCCTGCGCTGTGCAGTTTGCCGTTCTCCTGCTGCGTTTCTCGCACCGTGGCTTTTACTTTATTCCAAATTTAGGGGCGAGTCGCTGCTCTGCCTGTGCGAGCCCCAGGGTTATTGCTGTTTCGGATGCACAGGCTCGGCTGAACGCAGCTCAGCACAGGGATGCAGAGTCCTTCCAGCGAGAGCATCCTCGACGCGGAGCAGAGCCTCCCGCGTCCCATCCCACCAAGCGGTGCCGCGCTGTCACTGAGCCGGTGAGCGCTGCCGCTCTGGCTCGGGGCCTCCCGCTGTCCTTCGTGAAAATTCACCTTTTTTGCATTCCCTCTGCTGTTTGCTCCACGGTGAGCATCCTTTGAGAGGGAAGCGGTGCTGCTCCGTGGGATAAAAGTCCCACGGCGGTGCCCTTGAGGAGCGGGGTGGGTTTATGGGCAGAGTTTGTCCTCGGGGGATGGCTGGAACCGGGCATTTTTTACTTTTTGAAGCAGAGGGAGACCTGTGTGCTGTGCCGAGGTTGAATCTGCTTCAGCTGTGTGTGGGGAAAGGCTGGGAGCCCATCTCTGGCGGTGCCGAGTCTCTCCTGGAGGGGGATTTCAGACTTGGAAGAGGGCGCAGCGTCCCCCAGGAGGAATTTCTTTGTCCTCGCTTCAGTGGTGCTCGCAGCGAGCCGAGTCCGTCGCAGTCCCCTCGTGCCTCAGTTTCCCCAGCCTCTAAGCTGTCACCTGATAAGTTGCACTGAGTCGCTCTGTTTGCAGCGGGTCCGGAGGGGCTCTCCGGGGAGCAGGGGCTCTCCCCTTAGCGTGGTGAGGGGCGCTGACCGTGCCTCCTCCTCCGGTCCAGCGCTGCTGCGACGTTTTCTGCCCACATCCCAACTCCTGTGGCCTTCCCGAAGGCACAGCAAGATGTCGAAGGCCGTCAGTGCTGAGCAAAACAAAAAGTAACGCAGCGTAATAGAGACCAGATGTCTTGGTGAGGCTTCATCCTGTCCCCCTGGTTGTTTGCCAGGGCTAATATTTCTTATTCAAGTCAGGCAAGAGCGAGACTTTTGGGGGTTTTTTTTCTTTTCCTGTAAAGCCACAGCTCTGTTCCCGTGGATCTCCCTCTGCTTTTGTCCCTTCCCCAAGGAGCTGTGCTCTCGAATCGCCGCACCGACACGCGGCTGCTTCGCCGGTAGTTTCTGTGCTAATAGGGGCTTCCCCTTATTTCGTGTTCAATCACCGACTTCAGGGCCGTTCCACCAGAGAGAAACTTGGCCCGTTAGAGCTGTGGGTGGAGGATGAACCACATGAATTCAGCTCAGCCTGTTTTCCAGACTGGATTGCTTCACTGTGTGCAGCTGATGGGGTTTTTAGCCGGGTTGAGACCAGAGATTTGGAGTCGGGGAGTTACGCTGAGCCTCGAGAGGTAAACAGTACGTGGTGATGTGCTTTGCGGAAAACCGCGGAGAGGTGCAGGAGGTGGGGAGTGAGTTCCCTCGCTGGGGTTTTTGAGAGCCCTAGGAGCGGAGACGTGTCCTTGGCGGGCTCCGAAGGGCCCTGTTGCCGGGATGTCACCGAAGAAGGCGGCTGTGAGTGTTGGGGGGGAGGCTGAAGAGCAAAATAATAATAAACAAGCAATGCGCGGATTGCAAAGCCGTGCCTGCGGTGCGGAGGTAACCCTGCAGGCCCGTGGGTGGATTTATCTTACGCAGTTCCTTAATCCAAGTTTAACCCACTCAGCCGTTGCGAGCTCTGGCCGTCTCCTCTCCGGTGCAGAGCCGGCGCGCGGGGCCCCTCCGGGCCTGGCCAGCGGGCGAAGGTGGCGAAGGGATTGGGGAGTTTGGGCTGCCCACGGGAGAGGCTTTGCTCCTGGTGACTGCGCCGTGTTTACGAGGAGGGAGGTTTAACGGGATCCTAGCGCTTTTTCTCCCTCTACAGCCTGGCCAAAAGCATTTCCCTGCATTGGATAAACCAGTCGGGGCTGGGGAAGCCCTCAGCGGGCAACCGAGCCGCCCAGGGTCGCCGGTGCTTCTGCAGCCGCTGTCTGGCCGCAGGGCTGCGTTTGGCACTCCGGCAGATGCCACCACTAAGGTTTTTTCCTTCGTCAGTTTGTCGTCCGAGTTGTCTTGATGCAAATGTTTGAAGGAACCCCAGAAGTGCTGGCACGAGTAAAGCTCTGGGTGACTCTTCCTTGGAGCCGGCTCCGCTCCGTGCCTCTTCACATCCCGCCTTGCCGTTCCGCTGGAGGATCTCCTTTTTTGCTGGTGTGGTGTTAATTTAAAAATTAGGTCGGCTGGGCTTCCGTGGGGCAAGGCTGGGCTCGCTGAGAAGGAAAAACAACTTCCTTGGGCTTGCAGGGTCTTTCGGATCTAATGACCACAACTATTTAAAGCACGCAGATTTGCACCGAAGGGAACGGCAGGCACAGAGGAACGCGTTGTGTGCGGCTGCCGAGCGGACGGGGTGAAAGATGCTATTGACGTCGGCGCGCTGCTGAACTTTGGTCGGGCTTTTTTCACCTCGCGTTTAGAGCTTAAGTGCTTTGAAAACAAGAGGAGGAAACCGGTCTCTGGGAAGCGGCGCTCACATCTGGACACACCGAGCTTGTTTTTACTCGCTTGGAATATTTAGAAAGAAAGGCTGTGGGTTTCCTCGCCCCTTTCTCTGGTGTCGGGAGCTGTAATCACTTGTAAAACCCAAACAGATAAAACCAGGTCATTAAATTAGCGGGGAAATATCTCGCTGCAAGAACCCGCCGGTGCGGCTTCTGCAGTCAGAGCAGGGGCTGGGGGGCGCTGGGGGAGCAGCCAGGCAGAAGATGGTTCAGGGAACTTCTTTTCCAAAGACAGTAATTTTTTCCACCGTGCTGGACGTGAAAAGTGGGAGGGAATTGGTGATCTGCTCGCAGCGCTTCACGTTTGTAGACGGCATCGTGCCCTTCTGCTGGTCACGAGCTGCCTCGGGGTAGCGTAGAAGCAATGAAGGGCGGCAGCAGAGCCGCAGTGATGGTGCTCGATTGAACGGAATGCCTTATTTTATTTTTAGAGGGCGATTTCACTTGGCGCTGGCCGCCTTTATTCTTGCCGGTTATCCGTAGAGATGCACCGCTGCTCTTTTTATCGAGATGGGAAACTGGGAGGTGTGTTCAGTGCCTCACTTATCTTATTTTTAAAACGTAATTAAGTGCCAGTCGTTGGGCAGGATACATAATCTGGGCATCAGTGTCTGGACTTTGAAGACAGGGACCTTGCTCCAACAAACATGGTTCTTGCTCCGGCTCTCGCCCGGCGCCGGATTTCACCGTCAGAGCGCCGCGTTCCGCTGTCCCGGGGGGAGGTTAAATGGGCAAAGGCTGAGCATGGGGGATAAACTTCATCTTCTCTAGCAAGAAGCAGAGCCACCGGGTCCGCCCAGCCTGCGGCCCTCTAATCCCAAGTGTTGCCGAATGCCTTTGGGGTGGAGAGCATAAAGCAACCTGGTTATTCCCCCCCGCTCCCTCATTTTGGCTTGCTCAATTTTTTTATTGTCATGGTAACGGGGAAATTTTGTGTAATGGCTGATAGATGCTTACAGCTCGCTCTCAATTCTGAGTGGAAGGGGCACCAAGACCTTTAAAACCCAACGTGACCAGCTCGGCATCACGCTGGCCCGGCTTAACGTTGCGTGCGGTGGCTTGGGGCGCCTTCCCTCTCTAGAACAGGTTTGCACCAAACCCCGTCTCAGCTCTCTCCTTCCCTTGAGGTGTATCCCAGCACAGATTCCCCTTTTCCCACCTTCACTCCTCCACAGATCGTGTCCCTGACTCTTTTTCACTTTTTTTTTTTTTCGTGTCTTGTTTTCTTTTCAGCTTTGAAGCGTGCAGACCCGCCACTGCTATGGGAGACTCTGTTGTAGACCCAGCCCGAGGGACAGGCTTGGACCAGCTGCCCGGCTCAGCGCCCCAAGGGAATGGCGGGACGTCTCTCAGCGTCATCACGGAAGGTGTCGGGGAGCTGGCAGTCATCGACCCCGAGGTGGCGAAGAAAGCCTGCGAAGAGGTCCTGGAGAAGGTCAAGCTGATGCACGGCGTCTCCTCCGACAGCTTAACAAAACTGGTCGATGGCAGCGAGGCAGAGCGCGCCCCACGGACCGCGGTGGATTTGGCCAATGGAGACATCGGGGAGGGCTGTGAAATCAAGTGCTTGGACGACCCGCCCGGCACGGCCTCCAAGATCCAGGAGGAGGACGAGACCATGGCCAACACGGTGAAAACCGCCCGGAAGCGGCAGAAGAATAACTCTGCTAAGCAGTCCTGGCTCCTCCGGCTCTTTGAATCCAAACTCTTTGATATCTCCATGGCCATTTCATACTTGTACAACTCAAAGGAACCTGGTGTGCAGGCTTACATTGGGAATAGGTTGTTCTGCTTTAGGAACGAGGAGGTGGACTTCTACCTGCCGCAGCTGCTGAATATGTACATTCACATGGACGAGGACGTGGGGGATGCGATCAAGCCCTACATTGTGCACCGCTGCCGGCAGAGCATCAACTTCTCCCTGCAGTGTGCCCTGCTGCTGGGCGCCTACTCCTCGGACATGCACATCTCCACTCAGCGACACTCCCGCGGGACCAAGCTGCGGAAACTCATCCTCTCGGATGAGTTGAAGCCAGCTTACAAGAAGAGGGAGCTGCCGTCGCTGAGCCCGGCGCCCGACATGGGGCTGTCTCCTTCCAAAAGGACTCACCAGAGGTCCAAGTCGGACGCCACCGTTACCATCAGCCTGAGCAGCAATCTGAAGCGCACAGCCAGCAATCCCAAAGTCGAGAGCGAGGAAGAGGTAATGTTGGGGCTCTCCGAGGCTGAGTGAGCCTGCGGAGGGATGCCCCCAGGGCCGTGCTCGTGCGGTTGGTTCTCATCTCATAGCTCCTCCGTTACCGCAGAGCTTTTTTTGTCCTAGTGGCTGCAAATATTGAAGTTTTGATTCCTGTGTCTCTAAGCAAACTGCCAGACACCAGTGGGTCATGCTGGAGGATGCTGGGGCTCCAGAGGGGGAGTTTTCTTGGTGTGAGGGGAAGGGGGGACATGAGGTGGCTTCGGGGTAAGGCAGAAAGCCGGGTCAGGAGGACTGAGTCGCTTCCTACGCTGCTGAATTCCCACGCGATTTGGGCACCTCGGCCAGAGTCTCAGTTTTGCAATCTGCAGCCATCTGATTGCTGTTGGAAATCTGATTTCCTCCTTGTCCCGACTTGTTCAGATTTAGCAACGATGAGGTTGATTCACAGGCAGAAAAGGCCCTGGGCAGCCGAGGGCTGGGAGCTGGCAGAGAGCAGATAAACCCATCGGCTCCGCCGCCCCGGTGCCCTGGCCAAAACGAGCCACTGGGGCACGCACCCTTCTGGCTGGGGGGCCAAGGGCTACGGCTGTGTCTGTGGCTGCTGCCCTGGGCCTTGCTCCCCTTTGGATTTCTCTCTTCTTTTCGCAGCTCCAAGACAGTGGAAAGCCAGGCTTTCCCTGCTGGAGGGGCTGGGCTGTGCGGAGGGGGGGATTCCGGTTTCCAGGGTTGGGCGCTAAGGCGGTTTAGTGCCAAAGCAAGCGGCAGTGCAATAGGTGAACTCAGGCATGCGCGTGTTAACGTGTCGGCCAAACCCAAATCGCTCCCGTGGGCTCTGCGGCCTTTATTTTTAAATGTCGAAAAGTTCTCAGCACGAAGTTGCTTTGGCTCCGGTGCTGGGCTGTTGTATCAGTGCACGCTGCGAGGCTCCGTACGCTCGCTGGAGGGTGAGTGTTTCTGCTTGAGCGGGATTTCTCCCCAAGAAAATGCAGATTATTCATTTCACACATCTGCCGGCAACAGAGGCTTCTGGAGCAGCAGGATGAGCAGCATCCTCAGCAGGGCGGGGACGCAAGGCTGGAGGGAAAAGAGCTGGAAATTTTTTATTTTTTATTATTTTATATATATATTTTATTATTATGGAATTTTTTATTTTGCTGCTTTGTTTCGAAGGGCTGATGGGTTTTAGCATGAGCATCAGCCTGAGACGGTGAGAAATGCAGGGCTGAGATGAGGATGCCGAGCGCGAGAGGGGGACGGAGGAGATGAGCTGGTGCTAAATGCAGATTTCATGAGTGGTGCTGACCAAACTGGAGCAGAGCAGTGCCTCTTCCCCTGCCCGGGAAGCTGCAATACTCCCCCCGGGGAGGCGGTTCCCCTCTCCAGCGGGGATGGCTCGGCAGGCTGGGAAACGGCTCGGAAAACCGCGGTACCAAAGGTCCGGTCCCGGCGAGGCTTCGGCAGCCGTTCAGCTCCCCCAGGCTCCAGGCAGCTCCTTTCCTGGGTCATCCCTGTCCTTCCTGTGGATGAGACCCTGAGAGCTGACTTCCCCGTGGCTCCGTCTAGACATTCGAGATCTCGTGACCGTTTTCGTAACGGTGGAGTGTGTCTTGGCTTTCCTGCCTTGCCTGAGATTCCCCCTTTCCCTCGGCTCCGTGCTGGGTTGTAGATCATTGGAAGGGGCTGCGTGGTCTCCTGCCAGACTTGGGGAAGGCTCCTTTGGAGAAGGATTTGCAGGAGGCTTTGGAGGTGTGAAGCGGCAGTCATCCGGGCTGCTTTCAAGTTAAAACCACCCTGTCCCGTTCCTGGGGATTCTCGGGCAAAAACCCAGCTGCGAGCCGGGGCGATGGCGTTTGCGGATGGGTAAATGAATCTTTCGTGTCTCTGCCCGCCGGCCGATGCAGAGCGGGGCGCGCCGAGGTCCCTCTGCTCACGCTGGCTGCAGCTGCTGGGATAATGGAAACCGGAGCTTTACATCAATGATGGATGAAAGCAGCGCTGCAAAGGGTTTCTCTTGGCAACGTTTGAAACTTATTTCGATCCAGAGGCCGGGCAGGCTGGCTGAGCGGTGCAGAGCAACAGGGATACTCGAGGCGCCGTAAGAACTTCCCTGGCCTCCCAATATCCCCACCAGCTTCCTGGGCCGGTATTATTTTAAGCCCTGAACGTTATTGCCTCCCATCTGAAACCAGCAATGCCTGGAGCTGGCCGGGGTGGGGGGGGCGGGCAGGTCTGGCATAAATTCCAGCAAATTCTGGAATTCGCTACTTTAAGCTATTTCATAGGAGTTCATTTTCCCTCAGTCCAGGGAAAGGTCTGAATTTGTGCTGTGCTGGGACCAGCCCTTAACTTGTTCCTCAAACGTTAAGCGAGAGATTTTATAGCAATAGGATCTCATCTTCAGCCCCTTTGTGCCGCTGCGTCTCTGCCCCCCACGCCATCGAGCCGTGGGTCCGGAACCTGCTCTGCGGTGCCACCCCAGAAATTCCCATTTCTGTGCAAAAAATGGCAAAACCCGAATGGAAAAGCAAGAAGTTGGGTGTTGGGATGCAGGAAGGCTGCAGGGCCTGCGTCTCCTTACCGGGCGCCGCCTGCGGCGTCTGGCCCTGCGCTGGCCTCCGCCTGCAAAGGCAGCCAGCGCTCAGCTGCGTCTCCTTCCAGTGTTAAAAAAGCCGGCTACGCCCCCGCTGAGGGTGAAACGTGGCTGCTCAGCTGTCCCGCGTTGCTAACGCGGCGTTTCGGCGCGCTGCAGACACGGAGCTGGCGTCCGAATGTCATCTGCTGCGGATGGAGTCAAATCAGCCGGGCCCAGGGGGACGGTCCCGGTGGAGGAGGATGGAGAAGAGGCTTTGTGGAGAAGTTGGCTATTCCGATCTGTGGCCAGAGGCTCTTGAAGAGCAGAAGAAATGGAATCGGCTCTGTCTGGAAGAGCTGCGGGGAGGAATCGCTGGAGCGCGGGGCTGGTGCCTCTGCAGGCGGGCGTGGGTCTGGACGACAAACTGGAGGGGACAGGGCTGGAGGCGAGCGGTGCAGGGAAAGGAGGACGGCAGGGACGGCACACCCGTCCCCGAGAGGCTCTTGTGGATGTGTCCTGCAAACTGCCCACGCCGGAGGCTTTGCAGCCTGCTGCAGGGCTTACGGCCGGGCTTTTTCCCAGTGAGGGTTTCCCACATCCAGGCTTCATCTCCCCTTCGTTACTGGAGCCCAAAGTCACTTTTTAGCTCCACCGAGGAGGTGGTGGCACCATATTCCCTTCCCTGCAGCACCCCTCTCTGTCTGGACGGGTTATTTTCCCGTCAGTCTTCTCTCCACTGAACAATTTTGGGGTTATTTTCCCATCTCCCATAAATTTTCTCTCCACAGAACAATTCTGGCCTCTTCCACGTTTCCTGGAGGTCACCTATTCTACACCTCTGGGGTTTTACTTCTCCCCTGGACCTTTGCCCATTGCTCCCCATCTTCCTTGAAGTGCGGTGCTGGGCCCTCCCTGTTTCTAGGCTCCTAAAGGTGCCCCTGTCCTTCGCAGGTCCTCTGCGGCGGCCTCCGATACCTGCTGTTCCTGGATTAGCTGAGTCAGACCCAAAGCAGGTATTAGTGCTACTTAAGAGAAAAAAAAAAAACCCTGTGTTGGTTTTAGAGCGTGGTGGGGGACGGCTCTTGGCAGTGTCAGTAGTCACCCCTGGGATGAATCCGGCCTTTCCCCTGCATCGCCCGTAGCTCTGGCACTTTGTTTCTGGAGAATAATTCTTCCCGCCGAGGTCTCTGTGTCCCAGTTGTCACTTGGTGCTGCGTAATCCCTCTAAGAACAGGCAGGAGAGGTTTTATTTCAGGTGCCGTTTACGGGTTTTAATCCCCACTGGGTTAGGCGTCCGGAACACAATTCCGTGATACGGTTCTAGCGGTATAAATTGGTTTTGCATTTGTTACTTTTCAATTAATACAAAGGCAGGCGAAGGAAGAGCCGCAAGCTCGAAACTCGTGGCATGGGGCGTCGTAGAATCACAGAATCACTTTGGTTGGAAAAGCCCTTTGAGATCATCGAGTCCAACCTTTAACTAAACCCTGGCCCTCAGCACCTCATCTCTCCTTCATTTAAATCCCCCCAGGGGTGGGGACTCGACCCCTTCCCTGGGCAGCCCCTTCCAGAGCCTGACAGCCCTTTCAGTGGGGGGCGGCTGGGCTCAGCTTTCCTGCCAGCCCTGGTTTCCAGGGTGGTGCCTGTATTTAGCTGGAGCTCAGGTGCATCTGATCCATTTACGGACAAAGGGTGAATTAAATGTGCTGGGGCTGCTTGGTGTTGGATTTTCCACCTGAGCAACTCGAGACCCGGCGGGGAGGAACTTGCTGTAACCCAATGCTGGTAACCAGGGGAGCGCTGGGAAGTGTGGTGTTGCTGGAGATGGAGGGAGGTGTCCTGGTCGGGTGGCTGTGGCTGTCCTGTCTGCTGGGATGCATGAAGATGGACAGACGGCGGCCGGGATCCCCGTGCTGGGCAGACAGGATCCCCGTGCTGGGCAGACAGACCGCGGCCGGGATCCCCGTGCTGCAGACGTGGGGCCGGGTTGCCGTCCCAGCGCTGTGCAATGGGGATGCTTTCCATCTTTGCTGCCTGTTTAAACATTAAACCTCCAAGACGGGTCCCTTGCTGTCTGCGGCACGAGCCGGTCTTGCCGGTGCCTTCGGTCATGCAATAGCGCTGCTGGGCAGGAACGTGGTGGAGGTGGGTGGGTGGCTGGTGGAATTGGGGTGGAAGCTGGTGGGGCATCGGGTCTGGCTCCCCAGGGTTTTGGCAGGGCTGCAGGCAGCAACCTGGAAGCAAAACCTCACCCAGAGCAGAGCAGCTGCTTAAACTTCAGTAAAGCCATCTTGGCTGGGCCAAGCTACCAGAAAGGTCTCAAGCTGCCCTAGAGATGCCTGTTGGGGCGAGGGAGAGCTGAACGCGGGGCAGAGGAAGTCGTCTTGCTGATTGCCTTCATTTTACCGAGCTCTGCAGAACTCAAGCCTTG